AAAACTTTGACAAAAAAGTATCATTCTACTTTGCTATTACATTTTTAGGCTATAGCTCCAGAACGGCATCTATGATAGCAATACCAAAACGTACTGTTTTTTTATTTTCGGAAAAAGTATTTTTCTCTATCAAAGTAACATGGCCCGACCTGGGCCAGACCTTAGAGCCGTTAAATCAATGCGTCAACTATGATGATCGTCTATGCGTGAATTGCACACTCCGTCATGAAAACTCGTCGTCGTCGTTTCAGACTTATTCATTCGTGAATTTTCTCTCTATCAGCATGCTTCCAACCGGCTTTTTTACTTTAAACTGTTCAAACAAGGCTTTGCAGATTGAAAAACTTTTTGGCTTCAGCAGGCCGGAGGAGGAAGATGGCTACAGTCTATCTTGTTCCGACCTGAAAATTGATATTCGTATCTTCATGAAACCTTTAAAGGTCTGTGAAGTTGTGCTGAAGGATAAAAGCATGCTCGGAGAGAGTAATGTTAAATTGCCGGTACGTGGCAGAATTTCCAAACCTATTTTCCTTAAGATTTTGTCGTTTGAAATCATAAATCGTTCATTTAAACTGTTTTATCAGATTCATTTGGATGACGTAGAAAAGCTGATCTTTCTCAATTTAATTGATATATAATAGACCATTTTGTCTAAGTTTAAGGGAGCTGATAAAAACTTGCTCCTTATAAATGTATTTTAAGGTTCCGCTGCGTATAAGTTGGAGCTTATCTCAAAAGTATCAGCAGTTACCAAACATACCAGCCAGTCTCATTGAGATAGTCCTCTTAGAGCTTAGCTTTACAGTAAAATGTCCTTGTTCGCCTCAACATCTCATTGGATGGAGTGGTTATTTCATTAATACTTTGTTTAAGAAAGTGAGTATGGTTTTCAAATCAATATTGCAAAAGATACACTATTTAAAAGATACACTATTCTACCGCAAATATTGTGTTCAAATTCATTAAGGAAGCATGAAGAATTGGCTTTTTTACTTATATAAGTTGAGTGTCGGGACTACCAGTGAATCAGTTATATGAGATCTATTCACTCTATTTTGCTTAAGATGATGAAGGACAGATATTCGAATTTTCACACCATGATATGAGTAGAACTGACGTTACCATTAAATTTTGCATAGCCTCGCTTTCCCAAAAATTTTCCTCATCCAAAGTGGACTGCAGTTTCGACCTCGCATCTTACCCCCAGCGGGAGTCGAAACGTGACAGTGCAGAATGTGAGCTTGACACCTTAACCACTCCACAGCATTTCCACGAGTGTCCTTGAGTCACAGGGTCAATGTGAATTTCAAGGAAGGCCAGAACTTTTGCAATATCACATTCTTTGGTGGGATTTTTGATGAGGCAAAAGTATTTTTTGCTATAAAAATTGATTACATTACTTATTTTTCGTACATAATTTGGGCTTCGAGACTACCAGTAAATCAGTTATATGAGATTTATTCACCCTATTTCTTTTAAGGTAATGAAACGAAACCCCACTTATGAACGAAAAATACCTTAAGTATGTTCTATTATAGAAGAAAACCTCTCTCAGATCAGGAATACCAGCATGCATACTACTTATTTTTTATTTATGAGCTGATTCATTCACCCTACTTCATTTAAGATGAAAAAGAATGGTTAGGTGAATTTACCCAGAATGATATGAGTAGGCCCCATGTTTCGATTGAAGCTCAAATAGCCTTGCCTCCCATCGTGAAACAATTTAACTTCTAGTCCTTAATCGCCTTCACCGAAATAGGGTGAAAACATCTAATGCCATATGCACACTCGGCTACAAAGGGATGTCAACTTTCAACAGTCTTCATTTTTGTGCTGAGTAATCGGAAGTAGTTTATGCCCTTCCACCGAGTTCTGTTCTGCGTTCTGTGGGAGACCAGTAAAAGTGCTCGTACTCTATTTGGTAGAATCACCCTGGAGCTAAGTCAGAGTTTATAAAACTTAAAATTCGCTGAACATACTG